CTTTTCTTATATGTGTATTATCCCAGAATATTGCCAGGAATTGAATTGAAGCTCATTGGACTATAGTTTTCAGAACCCTCTACTCTTTAAAAGAAAAAAATCAGGACATTTGCCCTTTTCTAATCTTGTGGTACCTTCCATTTTCCATGATCTTTTAGAGATCAATGAGAGTGGCTCAGCAATCACACCTGACAATATCTTGGAGAATCATTATCCTTTCTGCATCATAGGAGTTGGGGTGCAGAGCCCCCATGATCTGGAAAATTCATGTAAAATTTTTTGGCCCTCCCTTCCTACCAGAGAAGTTTGGATTTTTTCTTTTTCTTTTATGGGGTGTTTGCAGTACCTTATTGTAAAATATGGGATCAGTATTTGGTCATAGGCTCTGTGTTATCTGCAGCTTCTGCAAAACTCCTCCAAAATTCCCGTTTGATGTCTTATGCCGACTAACTATGTATCAAAGTCATGATGTGGAAGGGATAACTGTAATTCACTTAATCCTGGTGACTTGAATTTACCAAAGGCAGCTAATCAAAGATGACCTGGAGTCAGGAAGACCTGACTCAAATCTGGGCTCAGACACTAACTGTGTGACTCTGGGCAAGTCACTTAGCCCCATTTGTCTCAGTTTCTTCATCTACAAAATGAGCTAGAGAAGGAACTTTGCCAAGAAAACCCCAAATGGGGTCGCAAAGAGTCAGAGAAGACTGAAATGACTGAATAACAGCTTATATTCTTCAAAGACTGTAATCTGTGACTTGCTGCTTATAGTATCAGCTGGAAAATATTGTTGAAAATGTGGGACTTTGTCTCAGGGACAACCTTGGGATCATTAAAAGCATTTCCCAATTTTCTAAAGGCAAACCGACTTACTCATTCCCTTCTGTTCAATTCTGGGCTCAACTTGTTGTCCACAAGCAATGTATGGATGGACCAACTTGAGGAGTTACCTGTTCAACAGCACGTGATAGTCTGAATGCTAGACATTCTTTATTCATTTAATTTTTTAGTGTGGAGGGCTAGACTGTACTCTTGTGAGTGACCATGAGTCACATTTAGTGTTAGACCAGTGTTAGAGGGCTTGACATTCCTGTTTGCAGTTAACATTATACTGATTACACCTGGAGGACTTTCCCATTGATAGCAGGGATTCTCAATGTTTTTTGTGTCATAGACCCCTTGGGTAGTCTGGTGAAGCCTGTGGACTCTTCAGTATGTATTTTTAAATATATAAGATAAAATACATAGGATTAAAAGGCAGCTAGGTAGCATGCTGGGCCTGGAGTAAAGGAGGACTTGAATTCAAAGCTAGCCTCAGTCACTTACTAGCTGTGTCACCCTGGGTAGATCACTTAACTACTGTTTGCCTCAGTTTCCTCAACTGTAAAATGGGGATATTAATAGCACCTACTTTCTAGGATTGTTGTGAGGATATAAGATTTTCCTAAAGTGCCTGGCACATATTAGATGCTTAATAAATACTTTTTTTCTTCCTTCTTTCTTACAAAAGAAACCAATTATATTGAAATGAAGGTGTAACTTTTTCCCCATCCAAGTACATGGATGCAAAGGGTCTGTGGACCCTAGGTTAAGAACCCTTGTTCTATTGGAAATCCATTTTACATTTGGACTCTATAGGGTATCCTCAGTAATGGTGGCAAATCATTTTGGCAAGTATACATCTTTCTGATTTATACATCTATGGAAATTACTAATCATCAATAGGTTATCATTACATATTTAAGAGGGACTTGTATGAGTTTGCTTTTAATATATGTGTGGGAAAATTGGTTGGAAGAGAGCCTCTAAAGTGGAATTTTGCTTCACCTAATCAAATACTTCTTTAGCATTTGGATAGAATGTTGGGCTTAGGAGTCAGGAAGATCTGAATTCAAATTCAACCTGGCTGTGTTACTCTTTGTGTGTAAGGTGGCATAGATCCATTTTGATAGAGGCAGCCAGGATCCATGGCCCATAAACACTAACACTGTGCTGACACATTATTATATAACCATAGATCATGTAAACTTATGAGCTTAGCTTGTAAACATCAACACTGTGCTTGCTCCTTGCTGACACATTATGTGACCACAGATAATGTAAACTTATGAGCTTATTGTTGGCATGCTGCCTTCTTTGTGTTTCTCTGTATGTTAAAGGAGCACTGGTCAATAAGTGCAGATGCTCCTGTACCTTGTCTCACCGGCCGGGTGAGATAAAGTAATATTAATCCCAATCTGTGGTCTTCACTGTCTTATTTGGTCTGGCTGGATCCAGTGTGAACATGATAGAGGATGGAGATGAGGAGCTCCTGCATTACACTCTTGACAAGTCACTTAACCTCTGTCTCTGTCAGTTTTCTTAGCTGTAAAATGGGGATAATAATTGATTATATCTCCCAGAGTCATTGTAAAGATCAACTGAGATAATATTTATAAAGTGCTTAGCAAAATGCCTGGCATATAGGAGGCATTTAATAAAAGCTTGTTTCATTCCTCCCTATTTTTTCAATCAGCTGTATGATTGTGGAAATATAATCTATAGAATCTTGGTTGCGAAAGTCTCCCTGTTTTCAAGAAAGTCACTAGGGAAAATAATTGATTTGTGTGCCAGCATGTGTTGTACAGAATAGGGAGATATTTGCTACAAGGAACTTGATAAAAACCTGCAAATAAAATAAGCATATATTTTATTACATGGTGACTTTAGTGCAAAGGTATAGGAGGATAGTGAAAAATATATATACCACATAAACACTTTCCTTGGACCAAGGACCACAAAGGGGTCTGTGACACAAAAAAGGTTGAGAATCCCTGCTGTCAATGATAAAGTCCACCAGGTGTAGTCAGTAGAATTGTTAACTGCAAACAGGAGTGTTAAGCCCTCCTAAATGAGACTCATAATCACTCACAAGAGTTCCATGAACACTTTCCTACTTGAGAAATAGGTTTGGAGGCTCTGGCTATGAAATAAACTAAATAGCATCATTAAAAATGAATTTTTTTTGTCGGTCAACAAGCATTTAATAAGGGCCTGTTATGTGCCAGGCATTATGAAAAGCATTGAGGATACAAAGAAAGGCAAAAACAAACAAATGAGCAAACAATACCCAGAAAGGAAAAACAACAACAACAACAACAACTGGTTGTGACTGTGGAAATCATTTCCAAATAAATTTTCTCTGTGCAGTCAGACTACCAATTTATATTAGATAACAGGTAAAAAAATAATTATCGAAGTAGAATAAATAATTAATATGAGATGACTTAGTGTGCAGCTGAGGCAACTCCACCCAGACCTATTTAGTTACGTTCATGATGCTGAAAAGTAGGAAACGTATAATAGAGCAGACTTGACACAGACTATTACCATTTCCTAAAGAAGCTTTACCAGGGTTTATTGATTACTACAACAAAGAGAACAAATGATTCTAAAATTAACTCATTAAGCCAATACTTGATGTCCTTGCCAAGCAGAGATATGAAAGCCAAGGGCAACACTGGTTTAGAGTATACATTCATTTTTAAGATCTTGTAGAGTAAAGCAGTAGAAAAATATGAATAGTATAGCCTCACGAAATAGAATGGAGTCCATGAAAGAAAGAAAAGTTTATAGAAACTTTAGATGAGACACTCATCTAAGCAAAGTCATCCTGAAGATGTGTAAGGATGAAACTAGAAAATGGATAATAGGCAAAAAAAAAATCTTTACAAATTTATATAACATTTTTTTCTTTTTACTCTGACTGACAGTGAAGTTACCTTGTTAATACTCTAACATCACAGATTTGTATGTGCTATATGAGGAAGTAGAAGTGGATATGGGCATTTCTTTTCCTTTAGAAATCAAAGATGGAAAAAGTAGAGCAGACCAAGTATAAACGGAATCTTTGCACAGGGGATGACACATTTTTGAGGGTATTGAAGGATAATTTTAAAAAGTATCTGAAAGAAGGGAGAATACACAGATCCTGCTGAAGGGTCTGGTCAGGGAGAGCTAATACTAGAGCAGCTTATCTCCTACACTCTCCAGATTCCCTGGGCCACCCAGATCCCATGGAGTTAAGCAGGAAGAGTCATCAGTGGACTGGATTCTCTAACTCCTTTCTCTTTCCTCATCCTGTGAGCACCTGAGTCACACAGACTTCATCCAGGGAAGCCAGGTGGGAAGGATTACATAGCTGTCCAGACCAATTGGATAAGTTGGGGGGGTCATCAAATTATACATGTATGGTAAAATGGAAGACTATTAGGGCATACCATCTTCTCTGCTACTGTATCCTAAGGTGCTCTAGGTCTTACCATCTGTCCAGGTGAATCAGCCTTGTTTATATCTTCTTTCAATCTATATCCTTTCCAAATCTATTTGTTGGTGAATTCCCCATGCATCCCCATAGGTCTCTAGGTGGCTCCATTTTCTCCTTATCAGCATAATTTTTGCTTGTCTTTTCATAATTTCATTTTTAAGAACTTTGCATCTCTCTTGGACCTACTTCCCTGATAAAGGCTAAGATGAAATGATCATTTACTCCCGAGGTTCCTTTCACATCTATTTTAGCAACTGGTATTTCTTAGAATCAAGTCCTGAATAACAGTTTCGTCACTTCTGCCTTTTGAAGGATAAAACCCATTCAGGCAGGTCACAGATTTATCAGCTGCTCTGATTTTGCCAGAGAAAGCATGTCAATGGAGGTGCCTTTTTGTCATTACAGTTGATGCTTCCCTTCCAGGTTTGGAATTGGTTTCTCAAATTCCTCATATATTTTCTCTTTCTTTTCCCCATGTAATTCCATGTAACAATATTACTCCTAATTTTACCCCATCTCAATCCTCACTCAAATATTTTCCATTAAGTTTTTCTCCTTTGGTTCCTGGATTTACTCACATGAGTGTGTATTCTGAGACCACATTTGTCCTTGAAAAAATTCTGAAAGGAGAGGTCTTAAACTTGGTGTAGAATGTGTTCATTAAATTTACAAAACTTGACTTTTTCCTTTTTAGGCATCACCACAGCAGCTGTTTGTGTTTATCCTGCTCGTGTGTGTGATGCTGTAAAGGCACTGAAAGATGCAGGCTGTGATATTCCAGTGGCTTCAGGTATGATTTAAATATATATATATATATATAATATATATATATATATACACACATATATGTATATATGTGTGTGTGTGTGTGTGTGTGTGTGTGTGTGTATGTATGCATATGCACTCTGAATCACAAAACTTAGATCCATCTATATAACTATGGTAGAAGGCAGCATAGAATAATGGTTAGAAGGCTGGTCTTAGAATAAGGAAGACCTGGGTTTAAGTCCTTCCTCTGACACATATTAGGTGTATGATCACAGAAAAATCACTTAAAGTCTCAAAGCTATGGGCAACTCTCTGGGATTATAAGTTACCACTGAGTTAATAATCTGTATCAATAGAAGTGGGTTCCATGGTTGGAGTTCCTCACACTGATGAAATCAGAAGTCTTTATCTTTCCCCCACCCACAAATCAAACTATGGAAACTGTTATTTGCCTGATATGTTCAAGGAGATATTGATGCAGTATGACATAATATTTGTTATGTGGGATGTATTTCTTAGATGACATTATTTCATACAAAATTGAAAAAATCCTGAAGATGTGTATCAGCTTAACGTGTAATTGAAAGCCAAGTCCAAGTTGTTGTCAGGTTTGAATTCTGCATGTCTCTAGACTTCCATCGAACCTATAGTTCTACATTCTGTGAGATGTTATCACAATATGAGTAATTTACAATGTTTATATAGTACTGCCTTTTTCCTCGAGGGGTCCCAAGGCACCCTGCAAATAAAGGCCCATTTCTCTCTTTATCGTACACCCTTGTGGAGCTGAATTTCTTGGAAGCCTGTCTCAGAGATCTTCATTCAGCCTAACTTCTTAGAATCTGGTACAGGGTGAGAAATAAGCTACCTATTGAGAAATTCTTTCCTTTCTTCATAGAAAAAGCACACTTTGCTCTAAGGCAGCAAACCAAAGTTATTTAACGCTTTGAAGTAAACACCATGAATTAGCTTTGAAAGTAGTGGAAATAACAGGAAAAGTAAATAACAGAAGTAAAAATGCACACAAGACCCCAGGTTTCTTCCCTGCTCCCCCCAACTGATTTGAATTTTTACATGTTCTCTGCATTTTTGTAACATGCCTTTTTGATGTATACATTAGAGGTACTTTGTGTCTTCCCACATAGCTGCATTTATTTGCATAGTCCCCTTTTTTATTTCCTACTCCCTCCACAATTTTGAGTCAATATGTGATTCATTTTTTTTTCCTGCATAATTTCTTTCTCCTATGCATCTTGTATCTGCTTGGCAGGCTGCTGTGATTATTAGTGGCGGAAATGGCAACGGTATTTCTTAAAGAGCAAGCTGAAGAGGTGAGAAGAGGAAATATAATCATATATGGTGGGTCAACTTGACCCAGCATAAGAGCCCAAATTATTGACCATGAATTGTAATAATTACTCTAAAGAAAAAGATGAACAACACATTTTTGCTATGAAAATTGTTTTCTCTTCTACTTTGGTCAGAACATTTCTATACATTGTAGTAAAATTTTAGGTTTTTCAAGAGATGTTTAGAATCATTAAAATGTCTAAGGAAGATTTTGTTTTTTCCTTTCACATTTACTTCAAGGACCACATGCATATGAAATTTTGAAGAATTATATCTCTAGGATGATGGTTTAGCCACGTTCTAGCAACGTACTAGTTTTCTTCTGCTAATTATAGTTGGAAAATTTCTTTGTGAAGGGATAGATCTGTTAACTTTTTTGTTTGTTTGTTTGTTTGTTTTTCCCTTTTAATAGTGGCCACTGGCTTTCCAGCTGGGCAGACTCATTTGAAAACTCGATTGGATGAGATCAGATTGGCCATCGAAGATGGTGCTAAAGAAATTGATGTGGTAATTAATAGATCTCTGGTGCTTACAGGTCAATGGGAAGGTATGTATTCATGCCTGCTTAAGTTAAGAATCACAAATTTGCATCTTTGACATAGGTGAGGTTTTTAGTGAATGGCAATATGGTAACACAGGACTAATAATGCGAATTTCTAGGTTTTATCCTTGTCTCTGCCACTTAATGCAAATCACTGGACTTTTCTCTGTCAGTTTCCTCATCATTAAAGTGGGGATAATAATCCCTGTCTGCCTCATAGAGTTGTAAAAATTAAATTTTGCCAAGTATGTGAATATATTTTTAAAAATTATATTTAAGATATTGCTATTTTAAATGATCACCACTGTCTTATGCTTAAAGACAGACCCTAGCTCCCAAGTGTTACCTTAGAGTGTAGTATTTTTTAAAAAAAATGTATTTTTATGACAATATTTTCCAAATCCAGGTATCCCAAAAATCTTAGTTCAGTTTTGAGCTTTAATAGCTTAAAGCTTAAAATTGTACTACAACTTTTGGTATACCTTGTATATTCCCTCCCTACCTCTATCCCAAGAGCCATTACTTGTAATAAACAATATTAAAAAAAAGGAAAAACAAAAGTGAGCAAAATCAACTGATATGTCATCTGAGTTTGAATAACTGCTTGCTGACTGACTGACTATGCAACATTTCACACCCAGCATCCCTCATCTATACAAAGAAGGGAAAGAGGTACATTTTTTCCACAGTCAGCCTTCTTGGTCACTATAATCACATAATTTTAGTTCTATTTATTTTACTCTGCATTATTTCATATGTCTTCCAATGTTTCTCTGAATTCTTCATGTTCATCGTATATTATAGTGAAAAACATTTGCAACATTTTGTTTAGCAATTTTCTCAATTAGTGAAAATCTATTTTGTTTGACATTTTTTGCTACTACAAAAAAATACTGTCCAAAAATATTTTGTTGTATATAGGAGCTTTTTCTCTGCCTTTGGCCTCCTTGGGCCTATGCATAAGAGTGTAATCTGTAGGTTAAAGGGTATGGATATTTTAGGCATTTTTGTATTTCCTTTCCAAATCACTTTGGAATTGGTTGGAGCAATTCACAGCTCCACAGCAATATATTAGGGATCTTGTCTTTCTACAACAATGTTGATTATTCCACCATTTGTCACATTTTCCACTTTTCTTGGTGTGAGATGAAACGATGTAGTTATTTGATTTTCATATCTTTCATTAATAGTGATTTGAAGCAATTTTTCCTATAGTTAGGTTTGTAGTTCTTTTGAGAACTGTTTGTTGGTATCCTTGAATACTGATCTAATATATTTGCTACAAAGATTTCCCCTCGTTGTCAATTCTTTTTTTATCCTAGCTGCATAGATTTTGTTCATACAAGAGTTTTACAGTTTCATATAATACAAATTATCTTTTTTCATCTTTTGTGATCACCTCCAAAGAGAGAGCATTACATATTACCTTTAAACCTCTCTAATGTTTTGAGAAGCAAGGAAAGTTAGCACAAATCCAGATACCTTGACCATTTCTAAATAACTTTTAGGTGTCCTAACAGTATCAGTCAACTCAGCCACAAATGAAAACAAAAAGAAATCTGGTCAGCCACACTGTTACAAGATGAAGGCTGCCTTGACATCAGGTATTTTTTATTTCTAGGTCAAAGCAGTCTGAGGGGCAAGAAAAATATGTACATGTTGTCTTTCCCTGAAATATTAGAGGATTCATGCTGTAGTAGAAAAATCTCAGAGACTTAAAATTATCTGACAGATATTGCATTATAGCAGAAAGAACACTAGAGAATAAGGAAGAAATGTTTCAGTGTATAGTATTTGAATAGGAGAATATCAGTGAGAGTAACTTAAGCATAGAATTGAGGGCATAGTAAATGGATACTAATTAGAAAAGAGCATAATAAAAATTGTTATTCAGGTTAAAAGATTGCATGGGAATAGAGCTGACAGTGTGGGGAGGACTTTGGAACCATACACTTCTCCAGGCAGAGAGAGGGAAGGGTCAAAGGTAAGGAGGAAATAAAGGCATTATCAATTTAATAAACTCAAAAAACTTGTAATAAGGTAGGTAAGTGGGAGGTGGGGGGAGTGGGAAAGTAAGAAAGGAGAGTAGGCCTTGAAGGAAGACAGATCAAATTAGTGTAAACAAAACTAATTATGGGATACTAGTAATTACTTAAAAGAAGAAAAATGAATCAATAAAAAAAATTCAAATCTGACAATTATAATAATCTTTAAATTGAATGGATTAAATTCCCTAATAAAGAGATAGATGTCAGAATGGATCTGAAACAGAAACCAACAATTTGCTATATGTTAGAAATTAAGAAAAGAACAGGCACAGAATGAGGAATTTTAACAAAATTTAGTATGTACTTGGTATTCTAAAAAAGCAGGATTTGTAATCATGCTATTACACAAGACAAAAAATAAAAATTTGTATTATCAAAAGAGATAAATAGAGAAGCTACATTATGCTTAAAAGCAAGAGAAAATGATGTAGTATTATTAAATGTGTGTACCAATTGATACAACATTTACACTCATAAGGAAAAAGCTAACTGGATTGAAAAAAAAAGGACAATTCAATTATTATAGGAGACTTTAATGTTATTTCAAAGCTGGATAAATCTACCTGAAAGATAAGCTAAAAAGGAAATATATAATGAAACAAACTAAAAAAATAGATTTGAAAGACTTATGGTGTCTTCTGAATGAAAGCACTAAAAAAATTCATGTTTCTCAGTACCCCGTGATACCATTGTAAAAATAAAACAGAGAGATTATTCCCAAGTATAAAGGGGAAAAACATTAAATACATTCTTTAGAGAGCATAATATCAGCTAAACATAATTAACACAGGGAACAAAACCAAAAAAAGATTCATACCTAAATAGAGACTAAGGAACAACCACCTGAATAATGATTGAGTCAAAGAACAAATCATAGAAACAATAACTTGTAAAAGAGAATGATCACAATGAGTTAATGTACAAAATTTTTGTGATACAACTAAAGCAGTCTTCAGAAGGTAAATTCCCTCTGACAACATATATTGACTAAGTTTTTTTTTTTAAGAGTGGGTTAAAGAACTGAGCCTACATTTAGAAAAGCATTAAGCACAAAATTATCACAAAAGAGTAAAATTTTCAAACTAGGGGAGAAAAAGATAAAATGAAGGAAAAAACCCTTCAGAAATGATAAATCTAAAAACTGCTTTATAAAAAAGACTAAAACAATTGATAAACCTTTAGCTAACCTGATTTTTTTAAGTATAAAAGCAAATTCCTGAATTAAAAAATAAGTGTAATATTCACAGTGAACAGAGAAGAAGTAGAAACAATGTCTACAAACTGCTATAGTTATTTGGCAAATAAAACTGGCACAAAAGAAATGGATGATGATATAGAGACATAAAATACCTAAAGAAAACAAGAAATAGTAGTCTTAAACAATTCCATCACAGAAAATGAAATTGGACAAACCATAAATAAGCTACCAAGGTAAGGCATCAGAAGTTGGGGAGGAGAATTTCTGGTCTAGACAGATTTACAAATGAATTCTATAAAATGTTTAAAATGACTCTTTATCACATTCTGAATAATTGATAAAGAAATCACTCTATCCAACTCTTCAGTGAGACAGATGTGGTCCTAATACTTAAACCAGGGAAGAATAAAGCAGAGAATGAGAGCTTTAGATAAATTTCTCTAATGTACAAATGGTGCAAAACTTTTACATAAAACCTAGTTAAAAGATTGTAAGTAGATATCAATATAATTATTCATTATGATTGAGTTGGATTTATATCAGAAATGAAAGTGGTTCAGTGTTACAAAAACAGTATAATTAATCATAATAAAACATGTAATTATATGAATGGATACAAATATTGTCAAAATATAGCACTTATTTATCATGAAAAACATAAGAATGGAAAGGCCCTTTTTAATGTGATTAAGAGTATATCTTGAAAATCAAAGATAACATTATTTGATGAGGAGAAATACTAAAAACTTTCCCAAGAGCAAGGATGTCTCCTTTCCCCTTTATTATTTGACAAATTTCTAGGATTGCAATTTTAGCAATGCAACAGGAGAAAGAATTTTAAAGACGTACATTTTGGCAAAGAGGAGATAAAATTTACTTAACGATTAACTTAGAAAACCTCAGAGAAACAGCAAAAAAACTATTTGTGCTTTGGTAAATGTAGAAGGACCAAAAAAAAAAAAATAAATCCACAATGTCAATATTTCCATAAATAGTAATAATAAGCCCTGGGAGAAAGATAGAAAATGAAATCCTATTTCAAATAACTACAAAATGCATTTATTTTGGGATTTAACCTACCAAAGACTTAAAAAATACAATTATAAGATGCTTTTTATATAAAAATAAGTGAAGAAAAACTAATAGTGGGATAGTTTAGTTATTGCCCATAGTCTGGCCATGCCAATATAAGGAAAATTACCAGATTACCAAAATTAATTTGCACATTTAATCCCATTCCAATCAAATTACAAAAGTGATCTAGAGAAGGAAATGGCAAACTACTCTAGTATCTGTGCCAAGAAAATCCTAAATGGGGTCACAAAGAGTTGGACACAACTAAAACAACTGAATAATAACAAATAGTGGAGAAATGACATGATCAGGGTAAGAGCAGTTGTACAAAGTCTTGGTTTCTCCACCTGTTCCTCCAGGATGGTTGGAAGATATTATGGCCTGGTCCCACAACTAGAAGATGGCAATGGCCAGGGCTCCTTCCATCTTTGGGAATGGGAGCAGACTGAGTGGTGTTGAATTCATTCATTCATTCATTTATTTATTTTTGGTAGGGAAGCTAGGTGGCATAATGGTTAGAACATCAACACCTAGAGTTAGGAACATGAGTTTAAATCTGGCCTCAGACATTTACTAGCTGTGTGACCTTGGGCAAGTCACTTAACCCTGTTTGCCTCAGTTTCCTCATCTGTAAAAGGAGCCAGAGAAGAAAATGAGAAACTATTCCAAGTATCTTTGCCAAAACA